TGTATACAATATCGGACAAGATTTTTAAAATTCTATGATCCTGGAATAAGGTCGTTTTTCCTCTCAATAACAAACGTCAGGCTCCACCAGGAAAAAAGGGGAGTTTGTAAAATCTTTCTAAAATCTGTGTGTTAACTTGCAGCAGTTGCAAACCCACAGGACTCAAACATATAAATTAGCTACTGTGTCTTTAGGAGCAGCAGGGCTATGCGAGTCTAATCATTGCATTTTATCTGAATGGAAGACTAAATTATACATCCCAGCCCACGGAAACCCACAAACAGAGTCAACAGCAAAAAACTTCATGTTCAGTAAAAACCACCCATTGTCAAGTGTAACAAAATAGGAGAAAAGTATACTTTAGGACTGAGTTTCTGTCTGTGAAATATTCTCTGAAGCCGACTTCTTATAATAATAAACTGCATCCTGCAGTTTTTCCTGCAGGATGCAGATGGCATCAAGAGAGAATTAAGCTGGAACCTGCCTCACTCATGCTCTGTAAATAAATTCCAACTATTGCCAGAACTGCCTTGTGCAGCACAGCAAACTACTGCTACACAAGAATGTCAAAAACAGGCTTTATAATCTTTGGCTGCCTGAAAGTAATATATCATCCCAAATACAATTAACACAGCACAGGCTTATTACCAACAAAACCAAAACACAACTTAGATATTTTTATTCCTAGCACATTGAGCGTTCACAAAAAGAAAGAACAAAAGTTCTGATTTAAATTTGGCTTAATAACTTCAGTGAAAATTTGTTTGCAGAACTTGAGAAATCCTTAAATGTTCATTGCAAATGTTGGCTTGTAAGACCAGAAATTCATATCCATAATAATACGTTTCCCTGAAGCTCTATGATTTAAGTGCCACGGCACTGAGGCAGAAATTTACAACATGAAATTCTGGTCCTGTTGAAGCTGGTAAAGTCTCTGCCATTGATTTCTGTAGGGCCAGCATCACTCTCGCTCTAACAAATAATAACCAGAATCACCTTTTAATATCTTTTTTTTTTTTTACTGCAATATACAGTAAGATAATGTATGTGCACTGCATTAAATGTAATTGACAAACTTTGATATCGGGAGACATTTATGAAACAAATAGAGAAAATGGTGAGAAGGAATGCTAGTGGCCTTCTAAATTTCCCAAGTGAATCAAACTTTAAATCATGCTTTTCTTGAGAACAGCAATTACATTCTTACCCTAAAAAAACGTCACTGTCCTTAATAAGCCTGCAAAGATGTCATCAAAGGGTCACTGACGGATTCTTTCAGGATGGGGACATCTACTGCTTAATCACTGCAAGTTGTGGGGACTCTGACCCTAACCACACAAGAGTGGTTCGTTCTGGAGCAGATTTACAGGCCAAAGTAAATTGGAATGGATTTGTTTTCTTCAATTATTTTACTTAATTACCTTTCAAATTAAGCTAGCTATTCCAATAGCTCTAGACAAAATCTCAAGGTCTGAATACTCCATAGTAAAACAGATGTGAACTCCGAGAGAGCTGCTTCAGTGCCAGGCTTACAGGAGAGCTGCAGCAGCAGCCAGATGTCCACCTCCCTGCTGACAGAGCTCGTTATACCAACTAATTTGAATTCTGCAGCCACCCTGCACTGGGGTTTTAAAACAGATAAGGCAGACTGAGAATCACACACATTAAAGGGCAGAAATCAGAAGTGTTGGCAGAGCAACAGACTCTCAATTCTGCTTCTTGGACCTGGGAAAAATGGAAGGAAGGTTCAAAGCCAACTGGAGACTCCAGTGTGCTTCAGCAGCACTCAAACTTCCATATCCTTTTCACATAAGCACGGCAACTTGTTCTCGGTACCCACTGCACAGACCTCTCAGCTCTGAACATGCTGCCAAAACCAACCCAAACCAGCCCAACTTAGACACAGCCCGCAAAGATGCAGCTTCTGAGTGCTGGGGCATTTGGGGACAGCAGAAGGGCCAGGTGTGAGTATATGCTACTGGGAACACACCTCTTGTTACATTGCCAAGTGTCAGTTTCTGCAATGCTAAATGACCGATGAAAACAATGGCTTCCTAAAAGTTAAAAAGTATGAAAAAAAAAAATTAACAAGTTAACACCTCAAGAAATAAATGGTGATGAGCCCTGCCTACAAGGGATGTTGGTGACCTGGCAGAGCTGGGAGACAACACTGCCCCAGTTCAAGAATTCTTTATTCACTGCCAGTTACATACTTCTTCTTGTTTAAAAATGACATTACACATTCCCCTGGAAATAGTAAAAAAATAAATAATTTCTCTAGACTCCTAGAGTGAAAGCCCAGCTTCTTATATGGGCTCAGCTGATCCAAATACTACTTTATTTTCCTCTCTTCTCCTTTAAAAAAAAAATAAATCAAACTCCATCTGTAAATACGCAGACATGCAAGACTTCCATGGTAAGGAAAGAAAATGAAGTTGAACAGATTGTGAGAAATTTGTTCTTAGCAGTACCAAGCATCACCAGAAGATGACACAGCACATTTGAGCTTTGCTCCCCTACCTTGTGCCCTCAGAAACCCTGGCTAAGCGCTACTATATGAGAGACATGGGCAGCCCTAGCAAACGCCATTTGCTAGAAAATCCAAGGAACTTGGGGCATAACTCCTGTAGTGCAAGTGAGAACATGCAGAAAGCACAAAAAATGTGTTACATTTCGGCCCACGCACCCCGGAGAGATGCTGGGCTATGCAACACTGCACACAGAGCAGAAAGCATGTGGAAAGAGGATCCCAGAGACATCAGGTGGAAATGATCTCTGGAGATCCATAGTCCTACCTTCCACTTGCAGCAGGACCATCACCAATACCAGAACCATTCACTCCCTGGGATTCTTAACTGGAGGATTCCTGTTCTTTTGTACATGGCTGTTAATAGCTTATTAAGTGCTTGGGAGTGTCTGCATGGCAAACAGCCAGAGAGGAGAACAAAACCTATCATCTCCAGGCCTTGCCTTCTAAATTGGTCAAGCGAACAAGCAACAGGAGCAAACTGTCCCATAACACTGAGGAGGAAATCAGTCCCCTCTCTCAGCTCCTAATCATCAGTGAAAACGGAATCGTGGTCCAAAGCAAATGAAGTCAGCAGTCCTCAGGAGAAGGTGAAAGGGCACCTCCCAGGCTGGGGCCCTGCTGATGGCACCCCTCGGGCTGTGCAGAAGTCCTTTATTCTGCAGTCACAAAAGAATTCAAACAAGTCATTTAAAAGTGCCTCAAGGCAGAGCTTGTCACTAGATCAGGTTTGCCCTGTTGAAATAATAAATGAGGTAATGCACAAAACTTCGATTTGAGGATGTTTCATTCATAAAACAGAAATACCAACAGCTTTACTACCAAATAAACTTCAGAGATGGCTTTAAAAAGTCCCCACACCTCTCTCCTTGCAGTAGAGCAGAGCCAAGCCGTAGGGATTCTGTGGCACAAGACACACTGTGTTTCCAAGGACAGCTCTGTAAATCGAAATGAGAGCTGACAACTTCCAGGTCATTAATCCCACAGCGTAAACAGAACCTATGTGCCAGGGCCTGCGCTCAGGTGGGCTGCAGCAACGGCCGCCCGGGAAGAACTAGACAAACACTGTCCTGCTTTTCGTTCTGAGTTTCCAGAAAAACTTTTATAATCAATTCTTCACTCCCTTCTACTCATCCTCAGGATATCTGGAGCCTGGTGCCGGCTATATTTGTGTTGCTAGCTGAAAGAACAGCAGAACATGCCAAGCGTTTAATAACAAAATTCCAGCCTTGTGACACAACCCAGTAATCCCAAGACTGGAAACTAACCTCATATTTCTACTCAGCACAAAACCCTAATCCTAACAAGATCACCACTATTTTTATTTTGCCTGAACCTTTTCTAAAGGCGTGTTTCTCACAAATTAAGAAAGTTACGGCAGAGCAGGTCGAACAGGGTTGTGTCACTTATGTACACAGAAACTGCTAAAACTAGTTAGGCCTATCTGTGAGCTCTTACACAGAATTGGTTGTAGCAGGATGAGCTGTTGTAGTGGCAACTACTGGTCCCCCCCACTTTGGGACGCCCCTCAGGACACTCCTATGATGAGGAAACAAATGGAGAGTTGCAGGCTCCTAACAAAGCCCTGGGCTGGGCATGAGCACACATATAACAATTCTCATCTAATATCACGACTGCAAAACAGCAAGGCAGGAGACTTAGGAAGCCAAGAACCTAGGTTCAGGCCAGGGACAAATGTGCATTATAGACATGTCTAAGGACTCATCAAGATGTCTGCAAAAGGGAGGGAATAAACTCTCCCAACCCCCAGCTGGTGTTTAAGCCACTGTTTGCCTTCATCATTTCCATCACCTGATCCCAGGCAGCTTCTCCACTACTACAGCTGTCCTGGCTTCAACACCACTCAGGCTTGCAGTACAGAGTGAGCCATCAAACACCTGGAATTCCATTTTAAAACAGCTTTTACTATCACTAACTGCGCTGCAGATGTGAGGATGTGCCTGACAAAGCTGTAGCACGACCCTGTGCTGTATCCCAGCACAGCCAGAAGAACTGCTCATCTGTCTTGACTTACAAGTCACAAAGCAGCAGAAAAAATGTGCCAGTGAGCACAGTCCTACACAGCTGCAATACGTGACACACAAAACTGCAAATGCAAGTGTTTTAGGGGAAGATAGAAATAATATTATGTTAAGCTAGCAGAAATAATTTGTGCACAGGGTACATTTATTCCTACACCCAGAAGCACAAAAGGTTTATACACCTATTAAATAAATATCCAGGCACTACAATGTTTTATGCAAAGCTCTCTTTCCATTCCTAACCGTAATGGGCATAATTTGTAAAGACCATGATCTGGACTTATTGTTGTAAAGGATATACAGAAGCATCACTTACAAAGAAACAAATTCAGCTTCAACCTTGACTAGGTCATCTTTTGTATTACATCTAACAGTCAGTGTTAGAAACAGTTTTATAGATACACATAAAAGGCCAGAATTGAACAACTTACTCTGCGAAATGACACAACGTAGAATGTATCTTCCCTTCTGCGAATAGCTTCAAAAAAATCTTGGTAGCTCCTTGGAGAGGCATAGTACACTTGCAGCTCATTCCCTGAGTTCCTGCTGAAATAAAGAGGAGAAGGTAATTATTTTAGACAAGAAAGTAAATTTCAGTGAGACAATGACTTTAAAGACCTGCTTTTCAAAAGAGCTGCAGCTCTTCATCCATCAAGAGAAGCATGAGGAACATTAAGCACAGGTGAAGACAGTGAAACTGGTGGGTATTTTCTGAAAGTTCAAGGTACTTTAAAGGTCTTGCTGTGGGAAACTTTTCCAGGCTTGATGTTATTCATGCTTTTGAGGCTGGCAAAAACCCACTTGCTAGCTCAACAGGACAAAAAAGTTTCAAGTCAACCTAAAGTGTCTGAAAAACTGCACCGATTTCTGAAAACAGATTTTAGCAAATTTTACAATGAAATATCATTCTGAAATTAAAAAAAAATGGAAACATTTAGCTTTTTTTTTTTTTTACTGCTAAAGATCCAAATCACTCAAACTGAAAGAAGTGCAAAGCTAAACATAACTAGAACTTTTCATTTACTGGCAAGCACCACACCTTTTCTTTCACCCACTTTTTTTTTTTTTTCATCTCTTTGGTCAACTCAAAAGATTTGCTCTTAATTTTCAGTTTTGACAGTGGAGCAAAATTAAGATATTCACATCATTATGGCCTATCTTTTCACAATTCTCATCTTACATATAATAGATATGTGGAAAAGACACTCTAAACTATTCTAAGCAAAAACACTGGTGAGTTATACAATCATGGTACTTATCCACTGTTTATTTTGGAAAGGTGAGAAATTCCTAGCACATATTGCTATCATGTATACTTCCCCAATCTCATTCAAAAATAATATATTTAATCAAATTGGAAAGCTGTACTTACATAAACCATTAGCTGGACTTTCAACCAGTCATTTTAATTCTTTCCCACTCTAATAGCATACTGTCTGTCTGCAGCTTTTGAGGCAAAAACACTGATCAGGCTACCCCTCCCAAGCAGTCTTCTGCTGACCCAGATTTTAAACTACGGTGGCTAATTTAGATTATTTTGGTATGTTTCTAAAATATACATAACTATGCACCCAAAACAAGGCACACATCTATCATCAAGTGATTTTCTCGAGCAGCAGTAATAGTAGACCGTTATTATCTCCTCTTCTGCTGCTAATACAGCCCTGTTGCAATCGAAGGGCTGCAGCTGCCAAGCCAGTTGCCCTTTAACAGGATTGGGGGTGTAAGTCCTGGGGGATCAAGAGCAGGCAGCTCTACCCTATATCTCCTCTTTAGCAAAACTATGCAAGCGAGGAACCAGATCACAGCCTTCACACACAGGAAACAAAGGCTGGAGCTAATTTGAGCTTGATTACTCATTCAGAATAACATGTAGGCCCACCAACCCACCCCTGAGATTCAGCATTGAAGTTTTACTGTGATAAAAGGCATCACACCCACGCATTGCTCAGTAAAACACATCCTGAAAACTGAAACAGGTCCCACAGATCCGTTTGCTCGCCCACACTCCAGAAGACACAGCTAGACCTAAAAAACAGCCTGTTATAACTCTAAATCCAGCCATGGGAGAAAACTGTTCCAAAGCACTTGGAAACCACCAGGCCTTTACAAAGTTCTCCTGATCCACAGAACAATTCCAACACTAGTCCCTGATTCCAAGTGATACCAGTAGATTACAGGTATTACACTGTACCTACCATTGAGCATCTAAGGGTAACCACAATGGGCTGCTCCATGAAAGGAAGGGAGGAACTCGAGATCCAAAAGCAATAGTAAAGCTACCAGTTGTTTTAGTAATACCATACCTTATTACAAGAAAGCATCACATTAAATTGTGTATCCAAAACAGTGGTGCTGGGCCTGGCCATTTATTGGGAGGTAAATAGGTCTTTTTTGTTTTAAAAGTTCAAAGGGCACTCTTATGCACCACAAAGCACTAGGATGTTGCACATATATTTGTTTTGAGAAGGAATGAGGTCATGGACACAGTGCTTTATGCACCACAAACCACAATTTTAATAGCACAAAATTTTGATATCTGGAGCCCTAAAAACACACTTGCAGAAACCTTCATCAAAATTACCTCTGAAGAAAGCTGAGAGGTTTTAATGGTTTTCTGGAAACCATCATGTCTTATCTTCTTCCTCTGCCTTAACTTCATTGCAATACTTTTCATCATTCATCAATTTGCTTTTGAAACCCAGGACCAACATGACAACGTTGCTATCACCAGAAAGATAAATCTGGATCCTGTTAATGCCCTCCTGCTCATGGGTCCAGGTCGCCAACAAGGATGTTTTAGAAGGTAAAGGTCACTCAATTTCCAGTCACAGCACTGGCATGAAACACCTTGACTGAATGCTCCACAGGGGTAGCATAATGACAAATGATAAAACTGAATAAACAGCACCTTTCTTGTGTGTGCAATTGATGAGGCACAAGCACTTCAGAAAGGAGCTGGGGCATTGGCAGGCAGCTGAAGGTGAGCCTGCAGTGCATCAGAAGGACAATGGCACAGGGGGTTGCCAGGTGACCAGGGCCTGGAGCACAGGATGTAGAAGGTGGGACAGGAGACAGAGGGAACTGGGCTTGTTCAGCCTGGAGAAGAGGAGGCTGAGGGGGCTCTAAGAGCAATCCTCAGCTTCCTAATGGAGATCACAATCCAGATGGAGACAGTCTTTCTTAACAGAGACATAGTAAACTTGAAGTTAAACCTCCTTTGAGTAGGAGGTTGGACTAGAGATCTCCAGAGGTCCTTTACAACCTAAACTACTCTGTGATTCTATGATTTCATGGAGCATCTAACAGCTGATGGCTCTGGGAGGAACTGGAAGTCTGTTCTATGTTCTTAGCAGTTCCAGGACAGTCACAGCGTGCAGCTGCCATGACTCACTGGTCCTGTTCATTTAAACATCATTCATCTGAAAAAAAAATCTCACTTCCTTCTGAGCACAGCAGATTATTCCATGCAGAGCTGCATGTTGTTGCAGACTGTTTTTAATAACCCAACTTATTTTTTTAAGAGCAATGCAAGCATGTATATTAAAATGCCTTGTGCCATGAAGCTGCTTCATCCAGTCTTCACTTAAAACAGATATCCTTCGTCGGCCTGTAGAACTAAAAAACATTTTCCTTTTTTTCTTGTAAGTTAAGACATATCAAAATCGGGCAGCCTGGTTTCCATAACATTTGCCTGCAGCTTGGTATTTTCTCCCAGGCTGATCCTGCTCTCAAAGCAGCAATGCAAACAGAAGGGCCACAGCTGTCTTTCAACGGCAACATTTCAGGTGTTCTTCTCAACAAGTTCCCTTTATAATCCATTTTGCTCTTACACTTCTCTTTGGCACTTCAAAGCAGAGAACCTTTTAAACAGTCTCACAGAGAAGGCAGAAGAGAGAAGTTGTTTCCTTAAGGTTTTCTCTCCAGTTCTTCCTGTCGCCAGGGAAGAGGGACAGGATATGTATGGGGGGGGTCAGGCAGGGGGCATCAGAAAACTCCGGATTTGTGTGTTCTAATAATCACCAGGGAAAATCAGGAGATGGAGACAAACTATGCAAATAGGATGTAATGATGCTTTAATTTCGTCATAATAATTTGGTGCTAGCTATAATGGCTCCACTCTTGAAGATAGTGAGAGAAACCTTTCTCTTACCAGACTCAAGTCCCTTTGAAACCTTTTTATAAACTATTGATGTCACCACAGACAGTCCCAAGACAATTCCCTCTTTTATTTTTTCCCTAAAGATTCCAATCCGTTTAGGAAGGGACTCTGCAGGGTGAAATAAAGGTTTTCTTAAGAGTCATTGGTAGAAAGACCCCAGAAGAGCAGAGCTGTGATACAGGGATCCCTTTCAGAGGGAAGCAGTTATTTGCTAAGGGGCAGAGATTAGGCCAATAAATGTAGCTAACCTGTCTTAAGAATCCCAACAAGGTGAAAACTGGCATTTTTTACCATCTTTTGGTGAAAAATTAAGTTATTAAGTAGAAAGCAATGACAAAGGAGGTGTTCTGCCTTACCTGAGGCTTGTGTCTGTGTAAGGCATGGCCATTAGCTGGGAATCTGCCTTCTCACTGAGGGAACTCTAAAAAAGGGGGAAAATAAAAAGATGACACAAAGTAAAAACAATAAGCATTTTCTTGGTTTGGCACTACCTAAAGCATGACGCACATCTGTAGCAGAGAGTGAATATGTAATGGGGTGCAGAGATTAATCAGTGCCCTGCACAATAAATGTGCATTTTTCCACCGGTGAAACATGAGTAACTGAAACGGCCAGCAAACAAGCTGGAACCACACATAAAAAGCAAGTGTTTTAATACAGCCAAATTTGAAGTCACAAATTCAGAGACAAAGAAGGGAGGTTGGCACCACACACAACGTTTGCACATACCGTGTCATCCAAGCGCAAAATTTGCTATCACTCATGTCAAATTTGCAGAATTCTTCTGAGGTTACATCCACTGTGTACCTCTGCCAAAATACACTACTCATAACACACTTCTGGTGTCTAAAACACTAGAAGCACCTGAACTTGCCCTACTTAAACGTTCTATCATTCTCCTTTAGACACCAGTGAGAAGAATCTGAAGTTTAATACTCAATACTTTTTCTCTAGAAAATTGCTGTATTTCTGACATTGTTAAGTTCAATTCCTTTTAAAGTTGTTGCTAGCTCTTAATCAAATAAAACACTGAAAATGCATGGTCTTAATTTTATCCTCGTTATTGCTATGCCATGTAGATGAAAGGGATTTTAAAAAATGGGAAATATGAGCCCAAATCTTTTAATTCCATAGTCTTACCAAACATGCAACCTTCTAGCAAAAAGCTGAAAAAAATGAAATAAAACCAATCAGCTGCACCCCTTAGCACTGAACCAGATGAATGCTGTACGTTATATATCTCTACATTAACCAACTGCTTATCCTTATCCTTCCATAGCCTTACAGAGAAGCCATGGAAAGGTTAACCGTTGGTTTAATTTTAGAAAACACTAAACATGTTTTGATGAATGCTGAAACTTCTAGCCTGAATCCAAGAGCAAGAATGGAAGAAGAACTCTAACAACATAATAATCAACCAAACCCACTAATTTAAAATGGGAAGTGTTGGGTACCCTAATTACAGGCACCGTTGCTGTTTTTTTCTATAATGACAAGCACAAACAAGTAAAAGAGAATATTTTGTTACGTTGTCTGAAATTATCTTGTCATGCTATTGACTCACAAGTATAAACCTGCCTACCTGCATAACCCGTGCTTTTTGCTGTTGGTTATTTGACAACCTTCTGGATCTTGTTCGTTCCACTTCATGTCTATGAACCCATCCTCGAAGTTCGTGATTCAGCCTAGAAAAACCCACAGCATTAACAGATGTTTAAAAGAACAGTTGCAGATTTTTTTTTATTTTAGAAAACAGTTTAACTAGCCACTAGAAAGATATTGCTGATTATTACTCCTTTACCTTATGATAACTTATCTTTAATGACAGAGTAAGAACATATAATTGCAAGACTAAATTTATGAGGGAATCTGTAAGGACATATCTATAAAGTATTTGGATCATGGATGTTTCAACAAAAAGCAAATACAGTACTTTCTTTTGCCCAATGAGCAGTAATTCTGAAATTACTGGAAAGAATACTGAAATTTAGAATCAAAAGTTGATCAGTTCAAGACAAAATATTAGTTAAGAAGGCTAAAATACAGCAAATAAATCTGAGAGAAGGAACAGACAAATTAGAATGGAGATAAGGTTAGTGATGTACTCATATCTTTGGAAAAAGGGGAGCTCGGTGTTTTCTAACAGTGAATAAAGCACATTGCAATGTCAGGTTCAGTCTTGTATCAGAAGCTGAAGAGTAGGAGACCATCCTTTATGTATTTCTGATAGAACAAGCTTTTAGCTGGACTTGATTTCCATATTATGAACATTTCTAGATATGAAGTGATTTCTCTGTCAGTTCATGAAAAACCTCCAGGCAATCTGAAAATTGTTATTCGGTTATTGCTAAGTGACCAGTGTGAAAACTGAGTGAAAATCATTACTAAAAATATCAAAAGATTACAAGTATCCAAGTCGATCTCCTGTCTCTATGGTAGTAGACCTGGACAGTGCAGACACTTACAGAGGCACTGGGCACACACTGCATGAACACAACGAATGGATAACATCATCATTCACAGCTGTCTGTCCAGTAGCACTCACCCAACACACAATTTATATCTAAACTCCTAATAAAAGCTTAAATGCTCAGAAAAAGGTTGTTTGCTCACCTCAGCGACTCTGTTCGGTTGATCAGGGGCTGACAAGGGGGGGGTGGTGGTGAAATATATAATAGTGGTTCTTCCGAGACTATCATCAGTGCTTTGTTATCAGATACAGAACGATCATACCTGGGGAAAAAAAAAAAAGGAAAAGACATGAAGAAATCCCAATCCCTTTAAATAGTTTTTCATGAACCTCTGACCAAATCCAGAGAATAAGCACTATCGTTAGCAAACCCAGAGAGGTTACTGCTGCTCCCATGGGACTTCTGAAACAGGTGAATAACAATTTCTATCAAACATCTAATGGTCTCAGTCAATTCCCCAAAGGGATCTGATAGCACTCAACACAGGGAAGATAGATGAGCATTAGCAGATGTTGGATTTCTTCCCGAACAGGCCAGATATTGAAAGATAACGTAGTCTGTAAAATATTCCTCATAATATGCAAACTATGAGATCTCTGCAGAGACAACTTTCTCTTTCGTTCCAGAGCCGTGCAAGATTTGCTACACAAATACTACATTTATTAGCCACTAAGACCATGCACATGTAAAGTCCATGAGCTATATGACAATGATGCAGCCACAAGCTATACTACAACTGAGTGAGGAGGATTTACATCTCCAACAGTGACCAGAAGCTAGCTTGGCTCTGATGAAAAGTGAAAAAGAGCATGTATTTCAATACAAAAATCCACAGCACTGTCAGCAACAAAGCAAGGACAGATTGCCGGTTATCTGTATCTCCTGAGGGGTTAACTACTTATCATCAAATACCTATTGTAAGTTCTGCTCTCGATAGGGCATCAATAACTGTCTTACTCCTCTTGGTTTTGGCAGAGACCGGTAGCTCCTAAACCTCAACTTCTTTTGGAAAAATCAAGCATAAGAGCTTACGAACATCTTATTTACATTCCCCTCCCTTTCCCAGCTTTCAGCTTTCTCTCCATCCTCATGTCTGCTTCTCCCGCTCACTGTATCTAGGACTGATAAAGGAGAATATGCAGCAAAGAGCTCACAGCTTGCCAAAAAACAGGGTGAAAGAGTAAGAGAAAAGGAGGAGGTACAGGCACTAGCATGTCCTCCTAAGAGGACTGCTCTACTACTACGTCCCCTAAGTCATGGTCTGAAATGTGCCACATAGGACACAAAGCCCTCACCATGGCTACAGCCTTAAAACGCTCGTGATTTATTGCGTTCCTTCTGCATGGCAAAATACATTAGGGCTTTCTGCACATCTGTGCCTGGCTTTGTTCAACCAGCCAAAACTCTCCACTGGAAAGGGACAATCTGATAGGATAAATCTTCTAAGGGGAAAACATGAGCTGGATTAGCCAGAATTCAATCTGGAGACAATTATACGTTCACTTATGCACTGAATGCGAGAGATCTAGGAAGCTTGAAAGAAACTATATAATTAAATAATGGGTAAGCATAAAGACAGACTCAGAAATTTCTAAAAAAGTACAGTGCTAAGTTCAGAGTGTGTCCTTAATTGTGAACTTCCCCAGTCTTCTCTTGAGCAACTAAAAAAATAAATACTCCAGCCTGAAAAGTAGGAAGAGATAGATAATATGACAAATACCATAACTATGCAAGCTAAAATAAAGATCAGGGGAAAAAAAGCAGACAGACAAAGAACTGAAGAAGGTCATGAAAATCTCCAAGACACACACTTGTTTATAAGCTCTTTTCCACCACACTGTCCCTAACAACATACAGCATAGCCACACGTACACTTCTGAAGCTCTATGTATTGGGCAATCTCAGAGATAAAAGATCATATTCATTTGAAAAGCAACCTGGTAAACTTTGTTAAATAATAAAAGAAATCACCTTTCAAAACACTGTCTCTGTAAACTCAGTAGCTCTGTAAGAGCAGCAATAACACTGCCCAAAAAGGTTAGCAAATGGAAAGGCAGTGAGATCTAAAAAGCACCATTAGCCCTCTGCCACTTAAAATATGTTAAAGATTTTCGTTGCACCTGTTTTCAGGAATGATGTCCCCAGGTATTTTCTGAGCTGTGCTGGACTCCTGGTTGGCTGAGAACTCCAGAAGATTTCTGGTCCGGTGGCTGGAACTCGCAGTGGAATCAACTCCATTGGGATCCTTTTCAAATACACTGCAAAATATAATAACCACAACAAAATTATCGCAAATATAAAGGGTCTGCAAGACACTTTACTGTAGCATGTTAAATACTCAGGTGGATAAGTTTGTGGCTGCTGCTGTATTACATGGATAAGGTTCATGTCATATCTAACGTAAACACATGGTGTCTTCCGTCATTATATTCCTGTCATTCTAAGCATTAGTAGACAGAAAAGCAATTCTGTTCTTTTCTTCAGTTTTAAATGTTCAAAGGATTTTGATGCTCTGGTTTTCATGTTCCCCCATAAAGCTTCACCTGATGAAACTGAGATCAATCTTTTTCTTATCTAGATCTGCAGGCATAAAAAAATTACCTACATTCAAATCAAATTATCCCGAACTTTAACTCAAAGCACAATTGATGTAGTTTATATGAATACAGTATGTATGGAAAATATGGTTACCAAATTCCGTGCAGCTGCAAGCTTGGAATATTATGCCAGATATCTAACAAACCTGTACACAAACATATACATGTTCAATTCTACTTGGATTTAGAAACATTAGGAGGGCTGACAACCCCATCCGCATAGCGGCAGCCGGCTGTGGTCCCAGATACCCTGTCATCCTGGTTTGTGCTTGCAGTGATTGAAGGACCTTCCCCTGGCTCAGCCAGCCAGCCGTGCAGCACAGGAACGCCCGTGCTGCTCTCCATGCAGAGGAAGGCTGAAGCATTTCACACCTGAGCTGGAAAAACCAACTGCACAACTGCTATACGAGATCAACTGCATCCCGGTTCAGAAGGGTGACTTACAAGTGAGAAATCTTGAAAGCACAAAAAGCAATACTTCAGGCCATCCTCTCCAGAGGCTAGCTTTACTCTTTTGTAAATGTGGTTGCTTCCTGAAATATGTATGCTTACAAAACCAAGTTCTAACCTTCTTAGCCGACGAGCAGAGCATCACCAGCAGCAACACAGTGAAAGTACAAAAATAAAACAAGACCCCAGCATGTCAAAGACATCTTTGCCATGCATGTTGATCACTACCTACAGACCACATTTTAATTCATTCCCCACCTCTCCTGTGTAGCAGAGCATAAACTCTGCAGGGGAAGATCTCATTTTCCTATTTGTTACATGGCACCACTTTGCAATCCGCAACCAATATAAATGTTAATAACAGAGAAAGGCAAGAACTAGCAAGAAGGGCAAACTAAATACTCCACAACTAAGCAGAAGGCACACAGACATAGTTGCCTAGCAATCCCCTCTCTTTTGCCAACACATTTGCACTCCTGTTAGCAGTAACTCAGGTCTCCCCGTGAGTAATTGTGTCACGTTCTGCAGAACTGCTGGAGCCAGGGCAATCCCAGATCCAGGCTGACGTCGCTTGGACTGCCTCCTCTCCTGCAGGTTTCCAGGCAGCAGCACAGAATCAGGGCAGCAGAAATGCTACAGGCTCTGCTTTCACTAGTGACAGCGAGCAAAAAAGTACTTAGAGGCAGTTTCCTTACTGTATATGTACACTAGCATCCAAATGTCTCATTGCTTCTGCTGCATAGCGTGGAAAGCTGGATGGTTTATTCATAGCCTCATAGATCAGGCAACACCAGACTATCCAATTTTACAGAAATAATCTCCACTATCTACTATATTTTATGAGATCATGTTTCTTTTCTTCCAACGAAAGCATCAGCACAGCTGGCAGCATATCAAGCCCAGAACCAGAGCTCAAAACTAAGGCTGATGCTTAAAGGGATGCCACATGTTCTTGCTGGAAGTCACATAACTGTGAAATGTCCCTGCTCTACCTAAGCTGGACCCATGACAGGGAAAAATATATGGAAATTTATTCACAAAACCAAGAATATCTATCAGAAGATCTGAAAGTTCTAACTCTCCTGCAAACCATTTCTCCACAGCCTGAAGTGTATCAGCTGCCCAGCATGTTGATGGACTTACTGGGTCTTGCATTTTATCCTATCCTACTTCTCTCCTTTCCTGTTCAAAATGATATATTCAACCAGAGAAACTTTCCATGTAATTATTGAGTTAAAGGTGAGAAAAACCTCATCAGTAGAACTGTAACAAATCTGCATTTTTCCATGATGGTTCTTCCTTCCTATTTGCCTTGTTCTGCAAAGCTGATTCTTGTTATTTCAGGTTCCAGCTTGGCGAGGTGACAAGTTCGAGGCGAAGTGCCACAAGCACCATGTTGCTATTCCAGTTCACCCCGAACTCTGAGCGAAAGTAAAGAAATCCAAACCAAGTCCACCAAGGATAAAGATAAACACCGCTCTGCAATCACAGATAATCTTCAGTTTTTGTAATTTAGTTGTTTTAGCTGTACAGACACTCAAAACCACACACACCTCATTTTATTATATCAGCCTTAATAGAGAGGAAATGTTTATTTTCACTCTTCTCATGCTTAAAACACCTTAATCTTTTCATCAAAATTAAAATTTCACTTTTGGCAGCAGCTAAATACGGGATGTTTCAACCTGGAAGAAGGTATCTTCAGCAGCAAAAGACAAAGAATGAGGCAGAGAGCGTGTTGCCATTCTTAAATCACGGCTCCCACTTCTGTGAACATGAGCACCAACTTAAGGACAAAACATGGTATTATTTACGGTATTTATTCCAATGCCCTTTTCTTTATCAGGATTGTTATTTTCCACAAAACGCTTCTTTTGAAGCAGGGCTAGCAGCAATTTCTGCCTTAAGCTACATGGGCAAATTTTGCCTACCCTTTCCCATTCATTTTTTAGGACCTTGAAGACGATCGAAAGCTTCCCTCTCAAAGTCTCAAACATGTCTTAAAAAAAACCCCAAACAACTTCCCTTCCTTCTTTCTTTGGTTTGTGACAATGACCCAAAACCAAAAGGACTTTCATTTTGGATGAGGAAAAACCCCACAACTTGAAATACTGCCCTGCTTCCACCTTCTAGTTACTTGGGGAGTTTTGTTAGTTTTTCCCCGCTCTGAACAGAAGACGTTGTTGTTACGTTGTGCTATTTCTTCCTCTTCCTTTCTCCCACAAGAGGTCACTTGTGGAGTTTGTCTGTAAATAGGGCTCCATCTTCAGGTAACAGATAGGAGAGGACACGTAGGTAACATTCTATATATCCTCTGACTTCTCAAAGACCTTCCCTTGCCATGTGGGAACATAAAGGTATGACATATCAGAAATGTTCCTCCTTTGACATCTCAAATTGGCACAGGGGAAAAAGAATGACTTAGGACCAAGGAATCCCTTTAGCAGCTAGGACAAAGGATGGAGCTCTCCTGCAGAGCTACACCTGGAAACATCTGCCCACTTGAAGCATACTGAGCTTTACAAGTGCTAGGCAGAACAGCAACCTGGACCTTCCAGCTGGACCTGGAATGGTCTACAGAGCAGATCCCAACACTGTGACACTAAAGATGAAGTCAACATTGAGCATTTTAAAACATCAGGTAGACAAGGCTAGAAACAGTGAAAAGAAAGGTAGATGATCTCATTCAGAGGGAAAAAAGCTTCCAAAAACCAGTATTTTCAGCTCAGATATCAATAGCTGCTTTTAAAAATGTTTTATATGTCAGATGGTAAAACCACGGACACTTTTTTCATTCTGTTCAGCTACAAGGTGAGAATTTGGAAAAGCAAGAGCAGTTTGATGTATCTCCCCTGAGCAAGTCCTACCATTTGCAGGAATAAACGTGGGGCAGTAACTCTAAAGTCAAGAAAGACCGAAGCTCAGAAATAGCTTTAACGGACAAGTTGACCAGTTAGAAGATGGAAGCTGGAACCTCTTCTGTTTGGCCACACTTACACAGCTGGGGTGCCTACCAAGACTTTGTAGCCTACGTTTGGACATCCCAGATACCATGAGCATTACAGGGTTTTCACACAGCCGCAAACACCCTGTCCAAGCTGGCTGAGCTATCGGCTTGTTTAAGATGCAAAAACAGATCCAAGGGAAAAAAGAAAGAACCACTAAATACTTCATGCAGATGTTTGTTCTGAAGTGTAGATAAATTTGACTATAGGAGGGAAAGAAAAGCAACACTCCTGTCATGGTTCTTCCAGGCATTCAATGGCACCTGATATTTTAGCTGTATTTTTACTTCTTTGGTTTGAATGTCAGTTTGATAAATGTGAAAGCCAGTCTTGCCAGGAGCCCCAACTAAGTTTCATTTGTACTTCTGGCTGAAAAAACCCTGTGCACTTCAAGTTTTAAATACTGACATTTAAGTTGTACAGTAATTTTTAGACAACAGCCAATAATGATATCATAACAAAGAGTTTTCTGGGGACAGAACCATCTCTGAATATAAACTGGGATGTTTCCAACAGGCTAAAGTTGACATTGCAAGGAGACACCAACCAAGGACCTTGTCCTCTTCCTAACTGATTCCAGACAAGGCTGCCACAGTGCCAAGTGCTCTCTGGAAAGTATTTCTCTTTTCTTATTCCCGATGAGGGCACCATCTGCCGACAGCAAGGCACTACACCTTCTTCCACCAGGCTGCTCCAGAGCTACCCTCTGAGTGCTGGGCTGGTCTCTTTCCTCTGCTGGGGAGGACAAGGAAAGCAACCCAAACTGGATGGGTGATCCCTGTGTTTTTCTTATGTTTTGCTTTCTTTAAAGAACAATTTATTTTTAATAAATCTGTTAGAAAAGAAAGAATGAAAGCAAGTATCGACACCCAGAACATTTATTTTTGCTTAGAAAACTATATACAGTTATTGGGAAGTGGGCTGACCTTTATTGCCAAAGCATGGGCAGGCCTGACACAAGCAATGCTCATTCAGGGTTAAAGCTTTCTGGATTTCACTCTCAGCCTGGCAGCTGAAGGCATGGAGAAAAGGGTAAGTTATCAGGGAGTGCATCTGGCATTCTGTGCAGGTTCAGCAACTACACCAGCAGGACAAGGCAAGTGACCGCAGCCAGGCCAAAGCACAGCTCTGCCAGATGAACATGTGGCTGTGATCAGTGAACGAAGGAGGAAGGAATCACTTCCTGCTCCTGAAGCTGTAGTTTGT